CGCAAAATACCCGCGAATTTCTAAAGCGGGTATCATAGTCTCCGGTTAACTGCGCAGTGTGTGCGACACGTGCCACCCTCTTACGCAACTGTGAGATATACGCCTCAGTTAAAAGAAATCATGATAATAATACGCATAAATCCCCCCAAATTTCTCTTACGCTGAAACATTTCATCACTCACCCCACCCCCTCACCCTCCCCCTCCTCCTCCCACTCCCCCCCCCCCCCTCCCCCCTCACCCTCCTAAACTCCAACGTGTCCGTCTCCCTCGAAAAAAAAAAAAAAAAAAAAAAAACACCCCTTCCACGCCCACCCTAAGTAAGGTACGACACGTGCTCGGCCTGACTTCCGCGCGCCCCCTGCCAAGCTCCACCTCTCCGTTGACGCACTTGTTACTCTGCCGTGTTCGCTTCGCCCGCCAAAAGGCCAAGTGCGCCTCGTGGCTACACTCGCCACATCTACGCATCGACACCATGCTTATGACGTCACGGATATAAATGGTGTCAATAACGTTATGTACTTTGTTTTGTTGACGTGTTGCGTCGGGGGGGGGGGGGGGGGACGACGTGTGTGCATAGCCGTGCATCTGATAGCTAATACATTTATATGCATGCGGTATTACTATTGCGTGTACTTCTGTGCATACATATATGTGTGTATGTGTTGTGTGTATGCAGGCGAATGTATATATACGTATACATATACACATACATTTATTATATACAATTAAATACTATAATCCATGCATACATAAAACACACATGCACTGCATGTGTAGGCATGTATGTGTGCATGTATATGTGCATATGCATATATATGTGATGTAAGTGAGAGAGAGAGAGAGAGAGAGAGAGAGAGAGAGAGAGAGAGAGAGAGAGAGAGACGAGAGAGAAGAGAGAGAGAGAGAGAAGAGATAGTACGAGACCATCCACCACTTCCTCTTAAATGTGATCTTGTACATTCATGAGACTCTTGTAGGAAGGTGGGGGTGGGTGGGTGGGGGTAGGAGTAAAGAGGAGAGAAGGACAGGAGGGGAGAGAGAAGAGAAGGAGGAAGGGAGAGGAGGAGAGAGAGGAGGAGGAGGAAGGGGAGTAAAGAGGAGAGAGAGACGGAGAGAGGAGGGGGAGAGTAAAGAGGACAAGAGGACAGGAGAGAAAAAGAGAAGTAAGAGGAGGAAAGAAGTAAAGAGAGAGAAGGACAGAGACAGAAGAGGAGAAAGAGAAGAGAAAGCAGAAGGAGGAGTAAAGAGAAGAATAGGAATACAGAAGAGAGAGAAGAGGAGTAGAAGTAGGAGTAGGAGTAGGAGGAGGAGTAGGGGGAGGGTCTTCTGGTAGAGCTCTCCTACGCATCAGGAGATCGAGAGAAGCGCAGGATTTGCGTCACGAGGAAGAGGAGTCAGGTTTCGACATGACAGATCCTTCTTCTTCCTTATAAGAACAGCATAAAAAAAGAAAGAAAAGAAGAAAGAAAAAAAAAGTAGTGGGATTAGAAATTAATGTAACAAAAGCCCCAAAATGGATTTAAAAAAATAAATAAATAGATAAGAAAGTTGAATTGTAAGTGACAAAAGGCCCAAAAATTTATAAAGAAAAAAAAATAAATAGATAAATAAATAAATAAATGCTAGTGGGAAAGAAATTAATGTGTAACAAAAATGGATAAAAAATATATAGATAAATGATAGTGGGATAGAAATTAATGTAAGTGACAAAAGCCCCAAAATGGATAAAAAAAATAAATAGATAAAGAAAGTTAATGAAAGTGACGAAAGACCAAAAATTGATAAAGAAAAATAAATAAATAGATAAATAAATGCTAGTGGGAGAGAAATTAATGTAAGTGACAAAACCCCCAAAATGGATAAAAAATTAAATAGATAAAGAAAGTTGATGTAAGTGACGAAAGCCAAAAAAATAGATTAAAAAAAATAATAAATAAATAGATAAGTAAATAAATTGTAGTGGGAAAGACGTTAATGTAAGTGACAAAGGCCCAAAAATTGATAAAGAAAAATAGATAAATAAATAAACAAATGCTAGTGGAAAGAATTAATGTGTAACAAAAATGGACAAAAATAAATAAATGGATAAATAAATGCTAGAGGGAAGAAATTAAATATAAGTGACAAAGCCGCCCCCCCCCCCCAAAAAAAAAAAAAATTATAAATAAAATAAATAAATAGATAATTAAATGCTAGTGGGAAAGAAATTAATGTGACAAAAGCCTAAAAATTGATAAAGAAAAATAAATAAATAGATAAATAAATGCTAGTGGGAAAGCAAAGCCCAAAAATGGATAAAAAAATAAAAATAAATAGATAATAAATAAATGTTAGTGAGAAAGAAGTTAATGTAAAGTGACAAAAGCCCAAAAATGATAAATAAATGATAAATAAGTAAGTGCTAGGTGGGACAGAAATTAATGTGTAACAAAAATGACAAAAAATAAAAAAAAATAAACAAATAATAATAAATAAATGCAAGTAAGAAGAAATTACGA